AAGGAAGGAAGGAAGGAAGGAAGGAAGGAAGGAAGGAAGGAAGGAAGGAAGGAAGGAAGGGAAAGGAAAGAAAGAAAATTTTGAGTATGCCAAGCTGGGATTAATCTGAGATTTATCTGATATACTGGTTCTGGGCTTGTGTTTGAGGTAATTGCTCTTGAAGGGAATAGTACACTGTCTGCCTGAGCATTTTGACCAGTACTATTCAAACCTCGATGAGTGTGAATCACTTTGAGATCATGTCCACATGCCAGTTCTAAATCTGCACACACAAGGCAGCCAAGTCTTTTGAACTCGTACCCCTACGGCATCCTGTTGGTTCTCAAAAGAACCCCATGCCAAGGACTTTGACATTCTCGCTCCAGTTCAGGTGTCATCTGTGCAAGGCCTGGGTGCTTGGGCTGGCCTTTGCTTTAATTAGCTTTTAGGGAGAGATATTTTTACTTTCCTGTGGTTAATCCTCTGGCCTAGAACTCTCCATTACAAACAGTGACCGTTAGCAATAGGTGAGATGGACATGCTGGAACATGCTGGAACATGCTCCCTCTTTCATCAGATGGCTCTGAGTCCATTCTTAGGCCACATATTTCATAGTGAGGTCATCAGAACTAGAAATGATCGTGAGTGGCTTAGCATAAGCTCCACTATTCCACATGCCTTTGGCTTCCTCTTTTGAACATTGGACCAAGCCTTCCACTATAACCATTGCCTAGCCCAAGATTCAGCCAAGAGTCTTGTAACACTTGCAACTTCATCAGGTGATAAAGGAAGTGCCGGGCTGCCAGGGAGAAGAGGAGAGCCGGGACAGCACGGACCACCTGGCCTTCACAGAGGGGAGCCTGGGAGGAATGGAGAGCCTGGATTCCCTGGACCCCCCGGCCCTCCGGGCTTACCCGGGCTCAGAGGGGTCATTGGTTTCCCAGGATTACCCGGGGACCAGGTAAGGGGCTGCTATTGCATGAGGGAAGAGAAGTAATCCTTTCCCTTTATGCTCTAGTGTCTCCGGAGGAGTTATGATTTGCCAGAGTACATATCATTGTCCTGTACTGGTCACTGGAAAGTGAAGGAGTGTATAAAGAAAAAATAGGACCCTCTGGAAGACCATAATGTAAATGAAATTTCCAACCAGTGCTCATGACTGGCTCCTGTAATGTGGCTAAACAAGTCACATTATCTGCATAAGCCCGCACAGTTTTTCCATAACACCATAAAAATTGGTCACATGACCAGTGGTTTACTGGGAGTGGGGGTGGGGAATGTCATCCTTAAAAAATAAAATAAAATAACAACACTCCAATTCTGGATTCTAAGCTTTCCCATCTAATTCAAAACACTGTAGATTTTTGTTGTAAGTTTATTTCCCCTTCATAATCATGAGTTTCATAGCTCTTAAAAGGAAATAGAATAGAATAGTAGTTTCATCATACTCCTAAAAATGCATAACAAAATTAACTATATATCTTTTGGGATGAGATCGGTTTTTAAAGTTTGTGATATGACTTTATAATACTTTATTTATTTAGTGTCAATTCATTTGTTCAAAACTTAAAATTCAAGATATATATCTACATATATCCACATACATGGATATATACATATATATTTATATTTATATTTATGGATCTGAGGATCATGGCTCAAAGCCAGCCCAGGCAGTGAAGTCTGTGGGACTCTTATCTCCAGTTAACCACCAGAAAACTAGAAGTGACACTGTGGCTCAAAGTGGTAGAATGCTAGGCTTGAGCTGAAGAGCTCAGGGACAGCTCCCAGGCCCAGAGTTCAAGCCCCACAACTGACAAAAAGAAAAGGAATATCTGTTGGCATTGGTAGCTCTTTTTCTAGGGGAGTTTTATCAACTTTTATAAGCTAGACACATTTCTTTACCATTGTAAGTTCTATAAGCCAGTTGCTTGCACAAAGGTGTAAGTGGGTAGCTTGAGTTCTGCATGGGAAACACAAAGCCTCACTTCTGTTCCATTAAATCATCAGGGTGAACAAGGTTTCCCAGGCCCACGTGGATTCTCAGGAAATGATGGAGGAAGAGGACCCAAAGGTACAGAAGACAAATTCATCTCAAATGTCTAGTCCTGGGTGCTTGTAACATTGTGAATAGGCAACTTTTGAATAACAAACAAAGGGTATCAAACACAATGGAACATACAAGGGAGTGTGATTTTAAGTGTGACCCACCAGTACCCAGCCGGACTCTTCTTAAGAAGACTCTATGGGATAATAAAAATCACCCAAGACCCGAAGGGTACTCTTCTGTCACTCAGCTTCAAAGGGTCCATACAGGAAACAGCATGCTGCAGGTTCATTGGGTCAATCCACCCACTGGGATGGTAGTAGCCATTGACATCCACAGCCACTCACATGACAACGTAGGCTCGAGACCAGACCCACTCCCATGAGCAGTGTCCCACGGGAAATCCCAAGTCCCATTGAAGCCAGGTTCTCTTCTGAGAACTGTGTACACTAAGCTGATAAGGAGAATCATGCGGTTAGAGGAATCATGGCCAAAGCCATCAACTCCCACTAGGTGTTCACAGTTTACTTAAGAATTTCTGAGTCAGTGGAAATTTGTAATTGTGATTGCAAATTGTAATAGCAATTTCTGTTTTCTTCAAAGGGCTGGATCATAAAAATGTTCAGGTTTGTGGGCATATGGCTCATTCACAACTACATAACTGTGCTGTTGTAATATAAAAGCAGCCATAGACATTATATGAACATAAAGGAGAGGGTATGTTCCAATAAAACTTTATTTATAAAACAGACTGACCAGTAGGTTTGACTCCACTGGCCTTAACTTATCTTGTGACCCCCAAATTTTTGCCTTGTAAACACAACAGGCATTCTACCCTTAACAGATATTCAGGGAAACTGAAATAGAAAGTTGAATCAAGATTTAAAATTGTCCTTAGAGAAGGAGAGATCTTATTAACTCTTTATTCAAACTGCAATCAGGACATCTTTTTTAAAATTATTATTGGAGGTAAAAGTCTCACAGACTTTCCTGCCCAGGCTGGCTTTGAACCGTGATCCTCAGATCTCAGCCTCCTGAGTAGCTAGGATTACAGGCGTGAGCCACCAGCACCCAATTGTTCTCTATTTTTTTTGTGTGTGTGAAAATACTGTACAGAGGGGTTACAATTACATGGGCAAGATAATGAGTACATTTCTTATCAAGCATTGTAGCCTCCTCCTTTGTTTCCCCTTCCCATCCCATCCTCCCCCCACCCCCCCAGCCCTCGCCCTGCACCAAAGTTGTAAAGTTCATTTTTGACATAACGACTTGTACATCTCATTGTTGCAATGGGCAATCAGGATATCTTGACTTATCTTTTTCCTTTCTTTCTTACTTTCTTTTTTTTTTCTGTGCTGGCCCTAGGGCTTAAACAGTGCCTGGGTGCTGTCTCTGAGCTTTTTCACCCAAGGCTACTGCTCTACCACTTGAACCACAGAACAATTTCTGGCATTTTTGGTGGTTAATTGGACATAAGAGTCTCATAGCCTTTCCTGCCTTGGCTGGCTCCAAACTGAGAACCTCAACTCCTCAGATCTCAGCCTCCTTAGTAGCTAGGATTACAGACATGAGCCACAAAGCCTGGCAGGATATCTTAAATTACAGTGTTTGTACAGGACCTTTAATAGGTCCTCTATCTTGATGTATCACTAGGCTAATACTTTTCTTTAAATATGCTTGAAAATTATTCATCTTCCTTACTTTTGACTTCACCTCACTTACTGTGAATTCACAGGTATGACATTCAGTTACAGATTATTTTAATAGAAATGAACATAACTAACTTTAAAATGTAAATTCCTAATGGATGAGCCACAGGAAATATACCACTAATGGTAACATCCTTTATGAAACACACTCAGTAAATAACAAAACTGCTATATGAAAATGTGAACTGTGCACAGCCATTGATTCAACAAGAATAATCTAGTTCTATGATTACAAAGAGTGAGAATTTTAAATTTAGTTTTGATATCTGTGATTCAGAACTCATTCATCTTCTAAATTCATATGGATTTATTATCATCCCTTTCTTCGTTCATAGTTAAAAAATACTTTCCTTCATGCTTATATTGGCCTATGCTTACAGGAAGCCAAAATGTACTCAGAATACTTGCAATCGGAGATATTTTTTCATGGATCCACCAAATCAGAGTTAAGAGTTCTTCTAGACAGTGAGGCTGAAGAAATCTAGCCATTAGCAACCTGTGCTTTTGTGCTTCTCTCCACAATCTGGTTTTCACATACTGATCTATCACCTGGCTTTGTCAGTTTCTAGTATCTTTTTCTTGTGTATTTTGGGATATGTATGGGTTATCACCAACATGTTCTTCATCAGAGCAAACCATAACCATCCAACAACCAAGGATCTCACCTTCTTGTTTCTTGAAATTACAACTTCTTTGAGAAAGACTGGCTAACTGGAGAAGAACCAGATTCCTACCCCAATGAGCAATTAGCTGTGGTGCTCAGTAGGACCAGAGTGGCAGCACCCAGGCATAAGGCATGCTATCATGTTAGTAGGCAGATACTATAAAACATGCCTCAATTACCCCTCTTCCCTCTAACCCCATCTGTTGCCTTGCCCTTCCCTCCCACTCTACCTTGAGCCCTTTATGTTACTAGAAACAACATACACAACCTTGTTGAGCAGCCCTGTGAGACTAGGTCCGTGTCCGTTGAATATCCCCTCTCTGGTCAAATCTTCAAGAAAGGATGCCTTTGTGATTTTATTTTTACAAGGACACTGGGCTGGCTGAGCTTTCTTGTGAGAGATCTTGAAATGGCAGGAGGGGAAGGGATGATTTCTACTTTCTGTCTGTAAAACAAACAGAAGGAGAGAATTGATTAATGCCTGGTAATTTCTTAAAAAGCAACCTAAATTTGAAACATAGTAAGGGACTTTAAACATTCAAACTTACTAAGATTTATAGATTGTTGGGAACTGTGAAATTGTTCTATGTGGCATTTAAATCACATCTTGTATTCATATTACCATTTGTTCTTATTAAGAAAAAAAAGTCATCAAAAAATGTCTCCCCTTGAATACTTGAAGTTTCTAAAGACAAATACCATGGGGATTGTCCAGACATGTATATGAGACCAAATAAATAACATCCTTTGTATTTTGTCACTCGCAGGAATCAAAGGTGACCCTGCCAGTCTGTATGGTCTACCGGGACCAAAGGGCAAGCCTGGCAGCCTCGGATGTCCAGGTATGGCTACCAATGTGTCTATTTAAAACAATAAAAGAGCTTGAATGAAGACCTTACTTTCCCCACCCCCGCTCTGACTAGTGGTGATTGTACTAACCCCAACGAGATTTGCATGGAAAGGATCTCGTGGAAGGCTCAGTACTGGGTGGGCTGGAGGCCTTCCACCACCGGTCACCTGACTAATGACATGTACACAGCAATCCATTCGCCTTGGCCTTCCCACATCATCGTAAAATCGAAAGTGGATACTGACTTTTTAAAAAAATGATCTCTATCATTTTAGGTGGCCACAGGTTATCCTGGAAACCCTATCTCTCCCAATGAGTAGAGAAGAACCAAATCCAGAATGGCTTGTTTTAGAATATTCTAGAACTGCTGAGCTATTCTCTTTCATTAGACATTGCCATGGGAAGGGGGCTGGCTTAGTTATTTGGGTGTTTTTGTTTTTTGGGTTTTTTTGCTGCTGTTATTTCTTTTTTCTGGACATGTCCACTACATACAATTCTGGCATAGAATGTGGTGTAGATAAATGAGCTGTGATTACGGGGATCATAGGGAAATACAAGTATGGGATGAATCTAATGTGAGCTTAAGGAGTGTTATTAGGGTTTCTTGGCTACAAAAATGTTATTTTGGCAGTGTGGGAAAATGTTCTTCTTTTTCAGGCTCACTTCCTAAAGTATCTAGGGATAGAAATCTATGATAGCTATGATTTCCTTTAAAATATTTCATCATTTAACAATGTATTTGTAAAGAGCCAAAATATCACCCTCTCCATCTAGAAATTCTACTGCCAGGAATTTTTCCTAAGGAAATAATTTAATAGGAAAAGAATTGATTAAAGCTGTATAAAGAACATTATGTGTAATAGTAAAAGTAGTTAAAAATAACTTGAACGGCCAATGTAGGGGAAATTCGATTATTTAATTTAATTGAGATTGAATCAGTAAAATAGAATCCAGTCATTTTAAAATTGATACACTGTGGCAAACTTAAAAAACAATTCTTATGATACAACACTAATTTTAGAATTAGAAAATAAAATCATGCGTATTATTTGCACATGTGCATTCAAATAGAAAACTAGGTTAAGGGCATTTTGTTTGCCAGATTTTTTCCCGATATACTTCCTTTGCAATGGGAAAATACAAGAGTTAGGGTAGAAAAGTATAGCACGTGCCAGGTGCCAGTGGCTCACACCTGTGATCCTAGCTACTCAGGAGGCTGAGAGCTGAGGATTGCTGTTCAAAGCCATCCTGGCAGGAAAAGTCTGTGAGAGTCTTATCTCCAATAAACTACCAACATGCCAAAAGTGTGGTTCAACTGGTAGAGTGCTAGCTTTTGAGCAAAAGAAGCTCAGGGCAGCACCCAGGCCCCGAGTTCAAGCCCTAGGACCAGCACGTACACACATAAAAAAAGTATGATCAGAAGCTCAAACAGGCATCCCACAGCTACTTAGACGAGGGCCATTCCTTCTTTAGGACATGTTGGAGCCCCTGGAGAGCGAGGACTGCCTGGAGATCAAGGGCCGAGAGGACCCCCTGGAAGACCAGGACCACCTGGCTCCATGGGACCCCCAGGGTGTCCAGGTAAAGTCAGGAAACCTGATGCATTCCCTTAAACCTGCTTTGAGATGGGCTGCTTTGTTTCCTACCCCTGTGCCTTTGGACCAGTCACTTAAATGTCTTCCCCATTCTTCCTTGTATTAAGTTAGTTGTAGGTAACTGCTTGCCCCAATCACGGGGAGTAAAGTAAGACAATTCTCCTAACATTCCAACATGGTGTCAAGCGTCCTTCCTCCCTGTTGCTCTCAGGTGAACAGGGGCTGCCTGGGCTGGAGGGCCAACCAGGAGACATGGGAGACCTTGGGCCTAGAGGTCTCCCAGGGAATCCCGGCATTCCAGGTCCTCCAGGAGTGAAAGGTAAGTTGGAAGGTGCCCAGCCTCTCAGAATGATAGTGCCCAGCGCAATGACAGTAACTTCACAGGGCTTTCCTGAGCTGGTAGCTGTGCTCCAGGTCATGACACTCTGTCCTGGATGCCAACAACTTCTTCCTAACTGCCCTACCCAGAGCTTCAGACAGTGCCCACATAAGCATCGATTGACCTGATTCAAGAATGAACTACCTTTTACTGGTGAAGATGCAGGATACTCTCTGTCTACCTCATTTCTCAGCACATCTAGCCAATGTTGTTGTTGTTGTTGTTTTTAACTAGGTCAGGTCTATCTATTTATTCTCTAAAGAGATAGTCTTAACTCTTTCACGTCCTAGATTCTGGGTTAGAAGCTGGGAATATAATCTTGAAGAAAAATAGACATATACCCTGCCTTCATGGAGCTCACTTTCTAGCAAAAGAGATAGACATTGAAGAAATATATGTAAATAAAGATAGATTTACCTATTGTGATAGTTGCAGAGGCGGAGGAGAGGAAAGGACAAGGTATTATGGAGAAAGAGTAACGAGTATTCATTATCATTGTTCCAGAAACCAACTTCATGCGTGCATTCTTTGGATCTTAAAGGTCATAGAGGAGTGGTCATAAGTGAATATAATATGCTACAATACAATATGGTTGTTATGGTCACATTCATCTATGATATCTAGCTTCCTTCAGTTCATTTCTCTTATTTTGGAAAAATAATGCCTTTTCCATGAAATTTTCTCTATATCTCTAGCATAATACCTACACTGTATCACATATGTTTGCTGAGAGACCCTTCTTACCAAATAGAATAGGATTATTTTTTTAAAGTAGGATCTTTTTAATATGATTGGTACCTTGTAAATATACAATAAGTATTTTGGGTGTCAGGATAAACTAATGAATGAATGTATAATAAACTAATAACTTAAATAAATACTCAAATTATTGTACTACAGAGTCACTAGTTGATGGTCAAGGCCTACATCTCCACCAATAGTTGAAGGTTCCAGCTTACTTGGTAGGTCTCTGTAGCCAAGTTCCCTTCATTTATTTCCTGTTATTCCCTCTTCTCTTGCCCTCTACTCATTGACATATATATGTGTATGTCATATACATATATTTATGTGACATACACACATATATTTCAATCATATATAGGTTATACACATATGTATATATATGTATATACATACCAAATGTGGATAAAATGAAATGATCTCTTCTCAGAACTAGAAACTACTAATCATGTTATTGTTTGCAAAATCCAAATTCTATTTTTCCCTCTTCTCCTCTCATTGACAGCCTTCAAACATTTCCAGTATTTTAGCAAGTGTAAAATGACTTGTATTCCTCAGTGTAATTCTACAGAGTTAAGGTATTTACTTTGAAGAGTCAGTACTCATGGATTTCTACACAATCAAATAGTATCATGGGAAAAGTTTCCATAACAGAACACAATAGCTGAATACTGTTCTCTTTCTGCATTGAAGATTTTTTGTTTTGTTTTGTTTTTTGTTTAGCAATGTGAAGAACAGCTACTCATAATGATTTCAGACTATCAAACAAAACAATCATTCTGCTATTTACACCTTTTCCTTCTGGTGATTGTGGCCATTTCCTGTTTCTGGAAAGTCATGCATTCTCTGGGGCTATTCTTCTACATCCTTTTGTGTCTGGAAGGAGTTGGTAACAAACCAAAAGAAAGCATTTTCTGTTACTAACTCCTTCTAATGTCTTTCCACTTCTCAGCCTTCCAGTTTAGTAGAAGAGCAAGGACTTAGAATACTAAAGACTTCTGAGTATCTTAGTGCCACAGCACAATCTTATTTTGACCCAAATGACAAGGCTCAGGTAACTATTAGTGATTCATCTCTTTTCCCTTGAGCTTGCATTTATTTATTTATTTACTTACTTACTTACTTATTTTATTGTACCCTTTCTGGGGCTTGAACTCAGGAGCTGGGCATTATCCTGAGGATTATGTTTTTGTTTTGTTTTTAATCAGAGATAAGAGTCTCATACTTTCCTGCTCAGGCTGGCTTTGAACCATGATCCTCAGATTTTATCCTTCTGAGTAGCAAGGGTTACAGGCATGAGCCACCAGTGCCTGACTTAGGTTTGTATTTACCACTTCACTTCAGTATGGTATTACTAACAGAAATGAGTAGCTAAGAATTGGTTCTATAAATGACTTGAAAAGTAATCACTAACTACATTACAATTCTATGCAATGAAATAATTTGTTAAAAAGAGACAGGGAGGAGGTAGGTAAACAATCAACCCCGCACAATTTCATAGCAGGTAGAGACGGGTATTATAGTAACACCTTCTGACCACATAGTGGCAGTATTTCACTATAGACAGCCCAGTGAACGTTCAGGCTTCACAGACCAGAACAAAACCGAACAGTGGAAAAAAGACATTCCTAAAATAAAAATACCTACCTACAGTATAAACTCATTGTTGCAGTATATCATGCTGATAGTAAAGTGAACAATACCCCAGCAGGAACACTTTGAACTAAGAAACTAAATATTTGAAGTATGTTCTAAATAAGTCAAGGGGACTGATTATCTTGTTTGCACAAACCAGCTGCTGAAATCAAAAAGTTGTTTGCTCTGTGAGAACAGGCCATATGGTTTTTTGGAGTACTGCTTGTGCTCACTCAGATTTAAACTTTAACTTGGACATATGCTAAAAGTGGCTTGATTCCGAGATTTTAAAATACGTATGCCCTCCAGAAGAACAGCATCCAGTTCTTAGTTGGGTGTCTATTCAAGGCTGGAGTGATGGATCCCTAGAGTCAACTAGCTGTAATATCACCTTGTCTAGAATGTACACTGGGGGTTTTAGGTCATGACAAGTAAACCATTTTACTTAAAGAAAATGCTTTGAGCTGGGTGCCAGTGGCTCCCACCTGTAATCCTAGCTACTCAGGAGGCTGAGATCTGAGGATCAAGGTTCAAAGCCAGCCTGGGCAGGAAAGTCTGTGAGACTCTTATCTCCATTAAAACACTCAAAAAACCAGAAGTGGCACTGTGGTTCAAGTGGTAGAGTGCTAGCCTTGAGCTGAAGAGCTGAGGGACAGCGCCCAGGCCTAGACTTCAAGCCCTCACAACTGACAAAGGAAAAGAAAAGAAAAGAAAGTGCTTTGAGTTGTCTTTTACTAGGAAATAAATGCCATGTGCCTTAGAGATGTGAAAACCACAGAAATGTTCTGTCCTTTTTTTTTTTTTTTTTGGTTGGCTGTGGAGCCTAAACTCTGGGCCTGGGCGCTGCCCCTCAGCATTTTAGCTCAAGGCTAGCACTCTACCACTTGAGCCACAGTGGCACTTCTGGTTTTTTCTGCTTATGTGGTGCTGAGGAATTGAACCCAGGGCCTCATGCATGCGAGGCAAGCTCTCTACCTCTGAGCCACCTTCCCAGCCCCATACCCCATGAGTAGTTTGTTCACCTCCTCCCTTCCTTCCTCTTCCTCATCACTTCCCAAATTTGATGTCATTATTCTGACACATCAAAGATTATTTCTGATTAGCTCCTTATCACAAAATACATCTAAGAACTCTAGGGAAACATGTCTTAGTTCATTCATGTGTTTGCTGCACTTAAAAAAAATTAGATCATACTTAAGAATCATTTTTTGATGATTTTCAAACATTTCCTCTAAGTCACAAAGATCTACCGTTTCTACCTACCTTAAAGCTGAGGTGACCAGCTAAGTCTGAAGGACTGTCTTAGGATAGAGAACTTCCAGTGTGAAAACCCAAGGAAAGCCCCAGCCAATAGGGTTATGTTGGTGAGTCCATTAAAAGTGTAAAGCTGTGTACCTTTCCTGGGGTACAGGGTAGCATTTCAGGTTTCAGATTTAAAACAAATACACCCTGAGAATAGGAATCTAGTCACAGAAAGTGGGCTGCCCACACAGATAGAAGGCACAAGCGTCCCGGGGCAGTGTAGAGGAAGAGCAGGCTGGCCTGCGCATGCAGAGCCACACAGCCACAAATGATGGCCCTGAACCAGAAGGCTGATCAGAGAGGTGAATAAAAATTCCTCATTACCCAGGAATGTGCTTTGTTAGCCTAATTGCCTCTCATCTGCACTGTATATATTTTATGCATGAACAACCTTCTGATTTAGAGATGGGATTGATAAAAGCTTTCAGTAAAAGGAAAAATTACCCTTAAAACCCTCCCCAGATGTAGCTGCATTCAATTTAGAAAGATAACATTGGGTCAGAGAAGGGTCGGCCAGTTCAACAATGGCAAGGGGCTGGGCCCTGACAGTCCAGGATCTGGATGTGTTGATGTGACAATGGGTGAGCTGGCAGAGGCTGGGACATTCCTCCCTCAGCCAAGTCCCCAAGCCATCCATCTTGTCAGATCACGCTGGAGATCAAAACACATGGAAAGAGCAGAGTAGTCTCAAAATTTTATTATCATTTCAGATAGATTGCAATAAATATCCAGATTTGGCAGCTGAAGAAGATCCCCGTGTTCTTTTGGTGCACACTTGAAAGACTGGCTCATAAAATAGGCAAAGAGGACTGGAAAATAAGCGAAGCCAGAACTGTTTTTTTTTTTTTTTTAAAAAAAAGTGGTTAGGAAACAAGAGATTTAGAGAAAATAAGGATTTATTCCCATTTTTGTTTCCAAGTGCAAGAGCATATGGCTCCTTTGAAATGACCTAAAGTTACGATTTTAAAAAGAAGGTAACAATTGTCTCTTTAAAATGCTGGCGATAAATAGGAGGGAACCACCTAACTCTACCAGCTTCCTAGATGTACACAGAGGGTCTGATTTAATGCCCAGAGAATAATTAGCACTTGAATAATTTATATATAAGAGGAGTCCTTCAAATTCTCTAAATTGTATTTTCCATATATATATATATATATATATATATAAATTTTTTTTAAATTGTGGCTGAGCACCATACCTGTAATCCTTGCTACTTAGGAGGCTGAAGTCTGAGGACTGTAGTTTGAAACCAACCTAGGTTAAAAAAAAATCACGAGACTCTTATCCGACATGAACCATCAAAAAGCCAGCCATGGATCTGTGGCTCAAGTGGTATTACACTAGCTTTGAGGAAAAAATGAAAAAGATAAAAATCTCAAGACCATTGCCTAGTTCTTGAATTCAAGCCCCAAGACCAGCATGAAACCAAACAAAAAGTTTGTGGTATGCACACAAATTATAATTCACTCTTTTTAAGAACTAGATTTCTCTCTACCTGTTCAGTGCCTGGCCCTCCTTGTCTACCCTTTCCCATTTACTTCTTCAATAGGTAACCACACACTGAACATCTACTATTACTATGTACCAGCAAGCACACTGAGCCTGGGGCTAGAAGACCCACAGGACCAAGTCTTGTTCTCTGACGTATAAGTAAGGGAGACAGCTGGCTAAGGGTAGGGTTGTTTACAGCACAGCACAGGTATGGTTGGTCCATGGAATCCTGTGTAGGTACTTTTGGTATAGCGAGGGACACTTGATGTAGGTCTGGTCATATAAGCTGAAAGTTGTCTCAAATGTCAAAAATTTGAAGCTGAACTGAGTGAATGTCTATGTATCAAGAACCTTCTGTCTTGAGTGAGAAAGAATAACTCCTTTTGCAGCATCCAGAAATGGAACAGTCACCAGACTTGACCAGAGAGGTATTTCTTTCCTGAATCCCTCAGTGGAGGATGGGTGGAGAAGATGGGTGGGATACCATGTGACTGGGATCAGGAGGAGCCCGACATATTCGTTTTCCATTCCTCCCTTATTTCCATCCTCTTCCCTCCTTCCATCTTCCTCTGAGTTGATGCTTGCCAGTTAGAAAACTCTCCTTTGAAAAAGTGAACTACAACACAAAGTCCAACAGTGGAAAGCCCTAAAAGAAAAGTTTCAAGTGGAAGTGGTCAGTGACAACTTGATTCTCAAAGACAAAGGCGTCCATGGGATAACTAATGTCTGCTTACAGAGTCTGGAGCTTGAATTCAGTGATCAACATAAAATCGGGTCAATTGTTTTCAAAAGGTATCAGAATGGTTCAGAACAAAGGTGTTGGGAAAAAATACCTGCGGTTGAATTGACCTTGCAGGCCTATTTTCCCAGGTAGCAGGGTGCTTACAATAGAGACAGGGAGGACAGGTAGGCCTCAGGATGCGATGGCTGTCCTGTTGTCTTACTGTGTTGACATGGAAAGAACTGGAAGAAGTTAAGACCCACAGACCCTGGTGGGGAGAAAAGACCCACCTGGATGGGAGGAGATCGGATTTGCTCCCACCTTAACTCTTCTCCTCATCTCCAGTGATTTCATTATCGTCAAATCAAAGGTCACTTTCTGCAAGAGGCAGTGATTCTAGACTGTATCTGGGCATGAGATCCCCAGTAAGACGTTCACGTGACAGAATGTGTCTACCATCGCCTTTGGCGTGCCCTCTGGTTTGGATCTGTGGCCAGAGTAGAAATCAGCCATCAGTGGCTTCTCTGGTCTTTGTGACACAGGCCTGTGGTGTGTTTCAGGTCCTGCTGGGTCTCCTGGCCTGAATGGCTTACATGGCTTGAAAGGTGAAAAAGGAAGCAAAGGTGCTTCAGGTAAGATCAAACCATTCGCAAAGGAATCAGCTTTATTTCAGAAGACCCTGAGATGAAGTAGTGCACTCTCCTATTTCTTCACTGCATAGGACTTGAGAGTAAAACTAAAAAAAAAAATAAAAAACAACCAATTTAATCTACAGACACAGTATTGCGATTATCTCTAGCACTGCTAATCATTTACATATAAAGGATGTTAAAAAAATAAAAAAGAAGAAATGATTGGCTCACAGTATGTTTGGTTGGTTTTGAGACAGGCTCCGTGCTAAAAACACTAAGAACCATTGCTTACATGGAGCTTAATTTTTAGATATTATGAGTAACAAATAAATAGTCCAGGTACAAATAAAATAACCCCAGCATTGTTTTGTTTTGTGTAGCTATGTATTGTACCACCACATGGATGTGATTAGAACCATTTGCAGCCTTTAATGTCAGTGCCAAGAAAAATTACCAGAACCATTTGTTGTTATTTTTGATAAATCAGGTTCATCTTCAATATTTGGGGTTTTAGCCTGTTCCAAAAATTACACATTTGTGATGTTACTTTTTCAGCCAAATAATAACCAGACAAAGCATCAGGGAGGACCAACATGTAAACTTTAGTGGGAAATAAAGATATAATTGTGTGGCTAGGTATAAATATCTTGATGGTGAGATGAAATCTTTATAGAATTTGGAATTTGATCACTTTGGATTTGCTTAGTAGATCTTTTCAATTAAATATCTGATTAAGTATGTACTTCTTCCCAGAAACCAATGACGTTTATCCCATTAATAGAAAACTCCAAAACATGATAACTCTTTTTATGTTGCTATTTCCACTTCAAAGAAATTGACTCACAATGATTTATTGTTGTATCTTATTTCTTTTTGCTTTACCCATTGAAAGAATTAGAGCATTGATGGTGTTCCCTAAACTCTCTCTCTCTCTCTCTTTTCTTCTTTAATCTGAGAAATAATCATAAAGAAAATAAAGCCTGGAGCTGACCTTGTGCTGGGTCATCAAGGATAATGACAATCCGGCAATGGGACACGATGCCTGCCTGTCCCTAATACAGTCAGACAGTGTTCTTGCACACACCAGTTCTCTGTCACACTCCTGTGGGGCAGCAGGCATTTTTCATGCACCATGTGCTGACAAATAAGAATAGAATGTAATATTGCTGCTCTTCTCCTCATGAAGGTTTGTATGAAATGGGTCCACCAGGCCCAATGGGACTACCTGGGATAAAAGGGGAGAGAGGAGACCCCGGGAGCCCCGGAATTTCTCCTCCAGGTCCTATTGGAGAAAAAGGTTTCCCAGGCCCCCCAGGTAAGAAGCAGCATGCTTTGTCTCCTCTCTCAACAATTAATTCTGAAACTTGGTCCATGTAATGTGGCTCACCTGTGAACATGTGTGTACACAGGGCCGCCCGGGCCACCTGGTCCTGCAGGTGCTCCAGGAAGAGCTCCGGAGGGTGACATTCCTGAACAAGGCCCACCTGGAGATCAGGGACTTCCTGGCCCTGATGGTCCCAGAGGTATGATTAGATGATGGCAGAGACTGGCTCTCTTTGCTAGATGCTGCCAGCTCAGCAGGACTGTAGGACCAGACCACGGCAGAGCAGCAATGCCCGGAAACCCCATCAATTTGGCAGACTGGGTGGAATATGGGTAGTGGTGGGCACTCATCACCATATTCAGGTCCCAGCCCCTGACTCTTCTATGTCAACTCTGCCCTGTCATCTCTGCCTAGATGCAAACAGAATGCAGAGCAAGCATCATATCACCGCCTTGGAGCTGCTCAGTGAGGCTTCAGAGATGCCCGTTAGGTGGCAGGACCTAGGCCTGCTGCACACAGATGTCCTGAGAGGCCGGTAGCTTGTAATCCCTCTCACCACGTCACAAGGACGCCTTCTGAAAGGGCAAGATTTGGGGAGCTCTTGTAAGCTAGCTGACTTTTTATTTAGGAGTCATCTCATGCCCACAGATTGTCCCGTGCAGTTCTCACAAGCTTCTAGAATTCTTCTACAGAGACATAAATATCATTTGGGGATGTTTATAACTTTAAGAAGAATAGAATTGTCCAGTGCAAAACAAAAAATCAAAGCGATAAAATATTCTAAGAAATATAAATGCCCAATGAAAAAGTATTTGTGATCAACTTATTCCTGTCTGTAGATACTTGTTTTCAAATAGAGTGCTATATTTAATTGCGTGAACATTCATTTTCTATCAGCCATAGTTTTTCAAAAATATATAACCGATTTATAACCAATCCATCCATTAGTCATCCATTCACCCTTTCTTCCTTCCTTCCATTTATCCAGCTACCCACCCTCCATCTATCCCATCTTTCCATTATCCATCCATCTGTCTTATTAAAGTAGTGAGATGACAGCACACATAAAGAGCAGAAGCTGATCTCTCAAAAGGAAATGTCATGGAGAGAGATGAAGTCTTGTGTGGGTTCATTATTTCTTTTTATTTTTTATTTTTTGGGTTCAGTTGTAGGCCTGAACTCTGGGCCTGGATTCTGTCCCTCAGCTCTCAGCTCAAGGCTAGCGCTTTACCACTTGAGCCACATCGCCACTTCCAGCTTTTTTTTCTGCGTATGTGGTGCTGAGGAATTAAACCCAGGGCCTCATGCATGCAAGGCAAGCACTCTACTACTGAGCCACCTTCCCAGCCCGAGGGTTCATTATTTCTAATAGCTCCTAACCCATTATCTTTACCATTTCTAAACTCAGGCTCCATGGGATGTACTCTATATTCACGGTATAATGATTGACATTCATTCTTCTAATCCTCTACTTCCCTTGCCTTTCAAATCACTAAAATTTTCAAGAAGTTCTCTGAGAGCCAATCAACTCCTTTGTCTTTGGCTGAAAGAACATGTTCCCTCCTTTCCTTGTCAGGAGAACCTGGGCCTCCAGGCCCTCCTGGGAGTGTGGATCTTCTGAAAGGGGATCCTGGTGACTATGGCCTACCAGGCGCCCCAGGATCCCCAGGCCCACCAGGTCCTCCTGGATGTCAGGGTATTCCAGGATGCGATGGAAAAGATGGCCAGAAAGGTATGACTATAAGTACCTTACATACTATGTATCTTACAGTAGACCATCTTGGGGGTTCTGTCCTTCTATGGTAAAAGCCTGCTTTTTGGTTTGGGGTTGGGGGAAAAACAGTGACTATTATTTCTAGAATTCCCTGACTTCCACCAAGAGCCTTCAAGTTTGAGTAAAAGTTGGAAAGTTCAGGGTACAGGGCTTTTTTAAATTCCAGTTTGGCTTCATCTGGATCATGGATGTGTTCTCTTTAACCTTTCTGCTTGATCAGTCAGTTTACTTCAGATGGTGGTAGCTCGTCTCAGCCTTCCAGAGTCAGACAATCTTTCACGTGAGATGCTGACTTTGCTCTCTCTTTTTGGATCTTCATGGTAAATCAGACTATTACTGTCGCCAGTCCATTTCATTCTGTGCCCTCATTGTCATGTTTCTTTTAGGACCAATGGGATTTCCAGGGCCTCCTGGCCCCCCTGGCTTTCCTGGTCCACCTGGAGAGAAAGGTTTACCTGGACCTCCAGGAAGAAAAGGGCCCCTGGGCCCTCCAGGTAAACAATTAATGCACGGCCAATTTCTAAGCAACCTGAAGGTGGCATTTTGTCTAAACATCTAGGAGGATCAGAATCCAAAGGTTATCAGTTATTTTGAAATTGTTAAACTCTTGTGAGTTAAACCCTTTTGGATATATGTACTGTATGTACTTTATGTACTTATATTTGGTACGCTTATAAGTGTTTTCCTAACAAATTTAAAAATTAGCTAGGTACCATATAGTTTTAGCAACTCAGTGGGTTGAGATATGAGGATCTTGGTCAGAAGCCTGCCCAGGCAAACAAATTTGAGAGATTCCTTATCTCCAGATAACTAGCAAAAATCTAGAATTGAAGGCATGGTTCCAGTGCTAGTATATCAGCTGTCAACCACTACCACAAGAACAAAAAGCCAAAATCAACTAAGAAAGAATTGGGGAGACAAGGAGAGAGTGTAAATAGGTTTGTATGTTTGATCTTGGCAGAAGTAATATCTTTCAAGATCCTGAATCGATATCATGACAATATAGTAACAACTTAGAATAGTTTGTAATCTCTTAAATTGGTCCTCTAATCCAGAGAATATATAAAGTTCTTTGCTTTATGAGGGATCATATTACAACAGAACAAAGGGCTTGGCACTTAGATTTTTTTTTAAAAAAAATATTTCTTTCCAGTGCCTTACCTATAGAACTTGACAAATTAATACAGAATTTTCAGAAGCCTTTAAATAGACATAGTTCCTAGGCACATTGGTTCAGGGCATATGTACCATAAGAAATCAGCTAGAATTGTGTATTTCTCAAGAGAGTTTCATGTCAAGTTTTCCTAGAGAGGAAAACTCCATTAGTGCTCAGAGCTGTCCCCCCCCCCCCGTCCGTCACATGGCTGAGGACTTCTGCTGAAAATGGGATGCTGTCGTTGTGCACGTCAGCGACGCTGCCTCAAATGATTGCTTAGGTTCTCAGTAAATCAATGTCATTTCTGTCCTAATTTAAACATTCTAACGTCTCTTTCCACCATGTGAAAATCGTGGCATGGCCTCAAATTTTTGGCTTTGGAATCTCCGCAGGCTCCAGAGGTAAGCATTGCTGTGAAGTGAATGGTTAGCCACTCTGGTTGCTTTCTCGTCTCTTCTGCCTTTGCCAGGAAAAGCTAATGCAGAGGAAATGGTTTTTGTGAATTACACCAGAGTATTGTTTTTTGTTTTGTAGAAAGAATGCTACATTATATTAGGTTTTAAGGCCTCCTTTTCCTTGTTTACCCTCCTATCTGTGTCCTAATCATGACCCTCATTATAAATGGTCACAATGGGGTAGGCACTTAGGTTCTAAAATTTCAATTTGGGCTCAAAGTCTGAGTATTCCCATCAATGTTACAGCACACACTAATGTAAGTTCCCTTTATGACTTCTATGGTATAAACACACTGAAAAATCCTTAATACCAACATTATTAAGAGATGGTCCCTTATCCTTCAAACTGTGACAAGCCTTTCCTAGCATACCTTTCTGTCCATTTTCTTTTTCTTTTTTTTTTAACCTTTCTGTCCATTTTCAAAGGACAAATTTCTTGGTGTGTTAAAAAGCAAATGCTCACTTAACAAATCACCATGTAAAAGCAACATATAATTTTGTGCCTGGCACTTTCAATGAAATTAACAAGCATTTCTGAAAAGAGAAAAAGGAAAATAAGTGAATGTGTACATTTGTTCTTTCCTGGTATTTGATATTAACCTTTCTTGCCTTGAATCTAGATGCCATATATTATTTTCAGGGACCTTTGAAGACAAACCACAGCTCTCTTCTTTCAAGTTTTGTTTAAAGAGTAAAGGAAAAAAAAAACAAGCACTGATGTCTCATACCTGCAATCCTGGCTATCAGGAAGCTGAGATTTGAGGATCATAGTTCAGAGCCAGCCCAGACAGAAAAGTTTGTGAGACTTTTAGCTCTAAACTACCAAAAAGCCAGAAATGGAGCTGTGGTTCAAACAGCAGAGTGCTAGCCTTGAGCAAAAGAAGCTCAGTGATAGCACTCCATGCAATGAATTCAAGCCCCAGGACCAGCACCAAAAAAAAAAAAAGCAAAAAGAAATTAAAAACTGTTATATTTTAATATTCATATTTAAAAATAAGTATATTTGAGTTTTTATTTTAGTCCTCTCTGTGTGGCTGTATGAGAAATCATTCGAAGACAACTTTAACATTCTAAATCTAAAATCTAGCCAAAAGACCACCCCATCCCCATTGCCCAGCCACTTCCTCTGGGAAGGCCCAAGCCTCTTTCCCAACTCAGCCATAGTGGTAAAGCCACATTTTACTTTCAAATGAACGTATTGTGAACATCTGTCTGTCCCTGTGCTGCTTGTGTTTTCATACTACGTTTTATGAGAGGCTCAATTTGGATCAGCTTCTAGATTCAAGTCCATTTTTCACAGGCACGTGGAGGATTATAGATGGAAACTTTGTGGTTTGGGTGACATTTTGCTAAGATTTTTCTTAGTGCTTTACTGTTACGATTGCTAAAACTGTTACCCACCTTTGTAGGAATGTGAAGAAAAGCAGAAGGAATCCAATGTTAATATTTTAACATGTTTCCTTTCTTAGAATTTATCACACAGGGATCTCTAGGGTAAGGCTGTGACTTGGGGGTCAAGTATTTGCCTAGCAGGCCCAAGACCCTAAATGCAATCCCCTGTAAAACATGGTGATGATGATATGGAGGCAAGATGATATGATGGTCATTCTGGGTTTTAATCTGGACTCTGCCATCTGTTGCTGTATGATCATAAATGTATCAGTTATTTACTGGTTTTCTTACTTTGTATATGTCTCTTGGACCACTCCAATATTATTTCCTCAAGGAGCAAAGTCATTGGGTTAGAGCTTCTAGTAATTCTGAAATTAGATTATTTTTGTGGATGCTGGGACTGGGGCTTGAACTCAGGGTCTTGTGATCTTGCTTGACATTTTGTTCAAGGCTGGAGCTCTACCACCTAAATCACAACTCCACTTATGGCTTTTTGCTGGTTAATTGAAGATAAGAGTCTCATGGACTTTTCTACCTTGGCTGAGTTCAAACTATGCTCTTCAGATCTTAGCTCTCTGAGTAGCTAGGATTACAAATATGATCTACCAGCATTTGGCTGCAAGTCTGCAATTCTGTTTGAATAACAGACTAGGAAAACCCACCTTACTGCTGTGCTATGAATTAGGAGATAGGTTTTAGAGACAAACCTTATGAAATGCCACGTGTGGCTGGTGCCCCAGCATAAAGTGAGCCTAAAGCTTGGAGATCCCATCAATGTCATGATGCTATTGGTGCCTCAATGAATTGTCACCATAGCATACTTCCACTTCCTCTGGTAATCCATTCATCATACCAGAAGTCAGTGGTCCCTTTAATCAGCAAATGCCTCCTACAAGATTTCAATGCATCTCTGCAGTGAACTAAGCAAGTTCCTGCCTTCACTGAATGTGTGCACACATGCACACATACACACACACACACACAAATTTAACATTAGTATAATGTGGGAAGTCCATGTTTAACTGGAGACTGCAAAAAGAGCTGGCTCATAAGCATTTGATCCCATCACACAGGGGTGATTCTAATTTCAGGTGAGCCTGGACCACCTGCAGATGCAGATGCCTGTCCCCGAATCCCAGGGCTCCCTGGGGTACCAGGCCCCAGAGGACCAGAAGGGGCTGTGGGACTCCCTGGACAGAGAGGCCCTCCAGGACCAGGTATGAACTTTACTCTGTTAATTATTTGTGTCATATTGCTGAAGTGAAAATCTAGATCTGTAACAAAAGTTTATTATAAAGGTGATGTACAGAGGGTTTACAGTTATGTAAGTAAGGAAAGGACTATGTTTCTTTTTGAACTGTTACCCCCTCCTTCATTTTCTCCTACTTTTCCTCCTCCCGATCCCCCTCCACTCAAGTTGTAGAGTTCATTTTCAACATAGTATCTAATGAATATCACTGTTGCATTGGTTTACACTTTGTCCTACCATTTCTATGATTCCCCTTCTCTTTCCCAATCGAGATGAACTTATATGTAAGACAAATGGTACAGAAATTAAAAAAACAGAGACAACAGGGAATAAACAAAAGGAGAAAAAAAGAAAGAAAAAAGAAAACAGTACAATTAAAAAATTTTCTTGTTTCCATTTCTTGGAGTTCATTTCGATAAGCATCATTTTACATGGTCATATGCACATAGCTATTGAGCCATTGTGATCCTCTCCTAAGAATATCCTCCTTTGTTCTCAGTGTGAAAATCCTTAAAGTGTTGTTTAATTAATCATGTCCAAGTGTTTTATTATGCTACTTTTTAAATTGGAGCCTAAATAACTAGAGATGATGAGGCACTAAAAATTTCCTTCCATTTCTTTTAACCAGTTTTTATTCATAGATTCAAAGGGCTAATCAAGTTCTAATTAGATCTATATGTCTCTTCTATTTTTGTGATAAACTTTGCTCAAATCTTTTATGCTTGGTCAACTTTTGGGGGTGGGTTTTTGAAATCTCTTAGCACATCAAAATAGATATTCTGTTAATCACCATTAGCTGTTGAATGATAAACAATTACATCTGGTTCTGTAGAATAGAAACTAAGCCTATGGGAAGAGAGAAGGAGGTGAACACATAGAGGAAGAATAGGGAGGAGGTAGATGCTCTTAATGTTGCTATTGCATCATTCCTTTAATTGATATGACTATTGCTCACTATGGTGGCAGAATCCTTATTGTATATAGATGCAAACCACATTCTTCTGTTAGGAAGTATCTTCCAAGTACTTTCTTTTCAGCTATCTGTTATCACTTTGGGTAATTTACAGATAGATCAGGGAGTCTGGGATTGGATGTCTGGAAGGCACTGGTATCTTCAGACCAGTTGGAGGTACCCATGATTCCAGAAGCATGATATGCAAATTATCAGAAGGCCTCCCTCTAACTTCTCCCACTGTCCAGCTGTGATAGGAGCTCTTAATATTTTAGTTCCAAGGAATTAGAAGTTTGTGTCACCTGTTTTTCCTAGTGGTTCCCTAGACTCAAGAAGCTGAACACCTAAAAGATGTCCCTTCAACTTCTTGGGTAGAGGCCAAAGCCTCCCTAGAGTCCTTTTCAAGCTGACTGTTTGCTGGTAGTGTTTTCTGCACGGCATCTGTTCGTGCACAAGGTTAATTGGGTTTCAGTGACATCCTTCAGCATGCTGTGAGTACTTATTTACCTTTCTTTCTTTGGTTCTCATTGCATGTGAGAAGTTCTAACTGGTCAATAAACATTTTAAATACATGCTATACTGTGCATATATCAGTCATATATATCTGTTTTTGCATATGTCTATTTTTACATCTTTTAAATGTGTTTTTATTGTAAAAATTCTGTACAGAGGGGTTACAGTTATATGAGCAAGGTAATGAGTACGTTTCCTAACAAGCATTGTTACCTCCTCCTTTGTTTTCCCCTATCATCTCTTCCCTCCCACCTCCACAACTACATTCCCCCCACCCTCCGCCTAAAGTGTAAAGTTCATTTTTCAACATAGTGTCTTGCACATCTCATTGTTACAATGAGTCAACCTGTATCCCTATTTAAGCATTTTGTTTTTTCCCTTCTCCTCCCCAAATTAGAGAAGTGTATATATAAGATGCAGGACAATGACATCAAATACACTGAAAACAGGGGTTATACCATGGGGGAGGAACATACAAAGAAATAAAAAAAAATCACATGGTACATTATAAATACATTAGAAACAATAGCAAGAAAGAAAAAACCACTTGTGTCCCTATGACCAGATAAAATGATGTTAAGTGAAATGAACCCCAAGATAGGGACATACATCTATTTTTTACATATATGCTTTGCCTATATCTCCAGGACTGCCTCCCAACTCTTAAAAAATAACTTGCAACTAGAAGCTGTGACCTTTTGTAAGGGTCTGCAGATTGTTTGATAAATACTTCCAGTTTCCCTCTACCTGGTACTACTGTGAGCAGTACAAAGATGAGTCGTCCAATGTGTTTTCCTTAACTGGGGAATCCCAGTCACATGGCAGAAATAGCTAGCAGGGCAGAAGTAACTCAAAGGTCAATTATAATTCATGCCTTAAGGGTGTTACAAGTGGAGGACAGTAGGAGATTGGGTCAGAAAGTGGTAAAGCACACGTGGAGCTTGGTAGGACCATGAAGACCCAGTGAGGGCTGGCATTTGAGCAGAGTCTGAAGGAAAGCTTTGGTTGAGGAGCCAGAATTGTCCAACAAGGAGACAGCAGGGCCGTAGTAGATTGGTCTATTAATGTAGTAATGAGGAATCAGCTACATTCTTGTTTCTCTAAGTGTGTGGTCCAAGGGTCAGTGCTCCATTTCCAGGCCTACTGAACCTGAATCTGCATTTTAATAAGATCCTGGGACATTTATGAACATTTAAATTTGAGAAACCCTAACCGTAGCCTATGAATGCTCTCTTTAAAAGATGTTAATGCCTTCCCTAGTGATTCCATCCCAATTGCAGGTTCAAGTCACCTAGAGGAAATAGAAAAGGTTCTAGTGCTTGAGCCTCGTATGTCAGACCAACGGAAGGAAGAGGGGTCTGAGCCCAGTCCCACAGATGACGCAAGCAGGCAGCAGAGGCAGAAACCCGCTGTTGTACCCCAACATCAAAACTGAGATCCTGATGGTGGGTGGGTTTGTCCATCATAGTGGCTTTAGGAAACAGCTAAAGAAAAACAACTGAAAGAAAATATACCAAGGGTAGATTCTGTAATCTTCAACTTCGTAGTGAAATCGGACATGTGAAGATTCTCTCTCTCTCTCTCTCTCTGAAGATTGTGAGTTCTGAAAGAGAGCTTGCTTGCTACCCAGGCCCAGGTGTGATTGCCAGTGCCAATTCCGCCTGATGCAGGCTGGAGGGGCTCATCCACAGGGACTCATCCTTCTCTGGCTTGCTTTGCCTTCTTAAAGGTGATAATGACCCTGTCTGATGACAGTGGGGGCCTTGTCCCAAGACCAGCTCTCTGCCACAGAATGTGACCATTGTTACACAAAACAGGAACTTGCTCAGTTCTCCCAGTGAGCCATTCCTCTCTCTCCAGGGTCTCTCAGCCCAGCTTCCAATACTCCTCAGCTCAGCTTCCTGGGGCCGCCTTTGCCCTACAGGACACCTGCTTCATTATTGCTTTCTTTGGGGGTCCCTGTTCTCTGATACTACCTCCTGTTGACAAGGAACCAGAAGTCATTCTCAATGTTTTCCGCATTCCCTTCTCCCACCTTCTTACCACTGGGAATCTGGCTAGCTAAGAGTGACAGGTCTAAAAGGGCCCAATCCTGACTGACCAGGCCTACCTTAGGTGTAGGTTTCTCAGTACCCTTCCTTTCCTGAAGAGGATTCTTTCAAAAGTGTGGGGGGGGAGGGGGTACGTACACAACAATTACAGTTGGCTGAGTTGTGAAAAACAGCTGCTTCTAGAAGAAAACACTTCCACTTAAATGACATTATTCTTTTCTTCCTATTTTCTTTGGAGATGGGACTGACATAAAACACACCAAACTTCCCGCTCTGTCTGTCCAAGCATGGAGGCTAATACCACATTAAGTATAAGTGGTATCTACTCAGGGCCCTCCACCCCAGGAGACCTAATGCTCTATATGCACACATCTCCTCCCTTGCAACTTTTCCTACAGGGAGGCCCTCCAAGCCTTCCACTTCCTAAAGTAAATGCAAAGGCAGTTTCCATTTTGTTTTGAGTTGTCCTTGCCTAATGTGTGTGTCCACATCCTGTGAGGGACGTATTTGTCTTCACTCAGGTTAACAAGGGCTTTCCTTCCTGTCTCTGGGAAAATGTCATCCCCTAGCATCTTATCCTAAAGGAAACAAAGTGTGCATTGTAACACTTGGCATGGAGATCCGCAAATCAATCAGAGATGATGGCACTTGGAGTCCATATGTCAGGTGGCATGTCTGGTACCTGTCCAATAGATGAAGGCAATTCTAACAAATCCATGAACCAACTACTCTTCAGTCCTTGGAAGTCCTTTGTAGACATGCATAGTGGCTGAACGTTGGACCCCTTTTGTCAGATAGGATGGAGAAAACTCAGTGTTTTTTCTGAAACAACTGACATTGTTCTCGATGCTGGTGGGGGAAGTCACACCAGCTCTCCATCCAGGGAGAAGAGGTACTTGCCTTGTTACATGGAGAGTAAAGCTGTACTCACCTGAATGGGAAGACCTGGCCTCCTACAAGGTGCAGGCACCTTCAGGACACTAGGCACAAATGTGTTTCTAATCCTGGGGCTCAAAGGTGGGGTGACGTTAATAAGGGCACTAAAGAATCAAAAGGAGACTTCTCTAAAGAGGAAATCAGAATGGCCAATAGACACATGAAGAAACGTTCAACATCTCTGGCCATAAAAGAAAGGCAAATCAAAACCACATTGAGATTCCACCTCATCCCAGTTAGAATGGCCATTATCAAGAAAACAAATAATCATAGATGCTGGCAGGGATGTGGCCAAAAGGGAACACCACTAGCTATTACACTGTTCTTGGGAATATAAACTGGTTCAACTACTCTGGAAACCAGCATGGAGGTTCCTCAAAAGACTAAACATAGAGCTCCCCTATGATCCAGCAATCTCACTTGTAGGCATTTACCCAAATGATCACAAACAAGGCCACACTAAAGCTACAAACACAACTATGTTCATTGCAGAATTATTTACCATAGCTAAGATAT